CATACGTTCATTGTCACATTTTTTTTCCACTGTGAGCTACCACAAGATCTTGTATATATTTCCCCGTACTATACAGTATATTCTTGTTTATCTGTTAAAAATATGGAACGCTTCACGAATTTGCATGTCCTCCTCGTGCAGGGGCCATGCTCATCTTCTCTGTATGGTTCCAATGTTAGTATATATGCTGCGGAAGCGAGCACAGGTGGAGGATTCTAATCCCACAGCTAATCAGTGACGGGTGAGTGTCAGCTTCCCGTGCCAGTATTTTAAGTGTTTGTTTTGTGGGTATTTCCCACGCCTCACCGGCTTAGACAGCCTGTTACCAGATAAGGATTCCTTAACAGTAACTTACTTAAATCTTAACACAACTCAAAGTCCAACTAACAAAATCTATGTTTTTATTTTTATTTTTTTCCGGGACTAAAGTTGACTTTGCATTTTCTGAGCAGAAATGATTTGATTACAGTTTGCAAAATAGTAAGAAGTATTTTGGGGGTAGGTGAGGGAGACTTGGGAAAAGGGAGTGTGTGTTTAAGTTACATGAGAGGAAACTTTCTAAACAGCATCGTTAGTGTGAAGAACGGGTAGGTTATTTTATGAATTGGATTTCAAAGTTATATGGAGGGGCTTGTACTGCAGACTCGGGTGGGGTGTCTTATGAATTCTTGGAGGCTCAAAAAAAAATGGCAGAAGGCAAAGATTGTGGTTTCAGAATCATTAATCCATTTGGAAAATGCACTTTGTAATCAGACAAGTAAGAGGTGACAAGTGACTAATCCAACAGAAGTTTTGGTGGGTTTTGCTGTATTCTTTCCTGTAAAAAAAGCTGCTAGGATGAACATATTTTATTAGATGAAGGCAAAGTTACCTAGCTCAGGAAATCTAGACCCCATGTTGGGAACAGCTGGTTTGCTTAGTTTTAAAAAATAAATGGGATTCTTGTGAAGTACAAAATATTTAGGACTAATCACAGATTTGTGATTTCCAACGATGTAGAATGTGTCCAAAAATTAGAAAGAGAGAGAGAGACAGGAAGAAAGGAAGGAAGGAAGGAAAAGGGGTCAGAGGAGCTACAATGATTCTACTTTTTTCAAATCCAGCAGTCAGAACGTTATGTTTTAAAACTTGGGAATAAGGCCTACTTGTTTTTGTTACCATCTGGCTGTTCTGGCTGAAGATAACTCCATACTGGGTGTATCAAATCTTTCTAGACTTGACTCCCCCCTCTCCCTATGCCTCTCTTCCTCTCTGTGTCTGTGTGTCTGTCTTCCTGTTTCTGTCTCTGTCTCTGTCTCTCTCTCTCTCTCGCGCGCACACACACACACATACGAGGAAATAATTTGCCTTGAAGTCATTTGTAGCCATCAATTTTTTAAAGTGATGTTTTTCTCTAGTCAGTAAAGTAAAACAATATTTGTAGAGGCCTCAAAGTGAGCTACTGATTTGGTGAACATGTTTCCTGAACAACAACAAAAAAAAAAAAAAAAAGGGAGAAAGAAAAGAAAAGAAAAAAAAATCAGAGCACATAGTCTGACAAGTTCAAATAGGAGAAACTGATGCAAATGTTTGAGGGTAGGACTTACCAAAAGAGAAAGTTTCCCTCAGTTCTTGGTCTAACAGAGGCTAGTAGAATTAAAAGCCTTAAAGCCCCATCTCAAGATAAAGGTAATTGTTCTCTCCGACAAGAAGAAAATGTTTAACCATAGAAACAGAAATAGCTAGAAAGGAAAATACAATAGGGCATAATTCTGGGAGTTCTTAGCGCCTTTAGTAAACAAACCATTTAGTCTAGGGAGGAAGGCATTACTGACCAGGCAGAGTGTGGACTGAGAGCTGACCCAGACGTGAAGGGGGTGGCCCGGGGCAGACACGCTGGGGGGCGGGACCTGGGAGGTATCACGCTAGGCTCTCCAGTAGATCTATTTACATTTTTACGTCATAAAAAGTAAAAAAACAAAACAAAAACAAACAACAACAACAAAAACCAGACATTCTGGGCAGGACAAAGCCTTTGTTTCTGAGGTCATCTGGCTGTTTTTAAGGTTTTTTAAAAGGAAAATTTATTCCAGGCTCGGAGACGTGTGCGTCAGTTGTTGCCAAGCACAAGAAGGGGAGAGACAGAGGCGGGCTGATTTAGACGTTAACGTCGCCCTGCTAATTCACTCTGTAAGTGGGTTGCTGAGGCGAGCTTCCAAAATGGGTTGGAAAAATAAAATAAAATATATCTAAGGTTTAAAAATAAAGTATATCCAAGTAGCTTAGAAGTGGATTTGTTTTCCTCCCTTTTAAGGCAATATGGGATCATTGTTTTAGCTTTGGCACGACAGCCTGTGGAGGCCTGATGAAACACTCTGGGAGATAACAGATTGTCCGTTGTACAAACATGCCAGTAGAAGAGAGCCTTGACTTAAATGTTCCAGGCCTTTCAGGAGATGTGCTGACTCCATCCATACATTGATAACACTCATTAATTCCTTTTGAGGAAAGCATCTGGCTCTATTTTTACATATATTGGCCAAATTTTCTATAAAAATTACTTGCATCAGGATTAACCTTTCCAGTTTTACAGAAATGGTTAAGCAATTCAATGGTGTAAATGGTTTGACAGCCTTTGATACTATTTCTTGTAAATAGCAGTGAATAATGAACTCCCAGGGTGTCACTGAGGGTAATTCACACTTGCTAATGATTAACCAGCCATGGCTCCTGAACTTCAGAGCCAGTATCCAAAGCCCCCTGGTACAGCTCGTCCTGGTTTAGACCCTGGCTCAGGTGTTTCCAAAAGCTCTTTGAAAAATCCCCTCTCATTCAAACCAGAACAAAATCTGTGTCCCATAATGGGGATTGGTGCATGAATTTATCCACAGTTACTGTGGACTGTTAGTTATTAAAAACGATGATAATGGCCTTGTAAGAGATGTGAAACTGTGAAAAGAATTTCTTCAGAGAGAAGGAAAATAATACAGGCCAGAAACTCAGTCTTCACAGGCGAAGGAAGAACTCAGAAGAAGGAATGTGTGAAAGCAAAATAAAATTGATGATGACCAGTCTAAACTGGGCCCTTGCCTCCTCCAGCTCCATCTTGTACACTTTCTGTTTCTCTCATCTCAGGCTTGCACAAAATAGAAGGATAACAAAACCTCCTTATCATGCATCTGGTTCCCTCCCCACTTCTCTTCCTCCAAAGGTAGCCGTTGTTCATGTTTCCTTGAATATCATTCAAAAAATATACAGGCATAAGCATTTTTCTGCAAAAAGGATGATACAACAGTGTTCCATTCCTTGCTTAAAAACAGCTCATCAATATATATTATTAATCTTCCCATACCAGCTCAGCCTGATTTACTTTGTTGTTGTAATGACCGCAAAATAAAGTTTTCATGCTTTTTTTGGTTCATATTTCTGTTTATTTGGTTGTTGTTGTTTTTTTTTTTTTTTTTGCTAAACTGCCTATCTATAGACTTTTTTTAAAAACAGGGTTCTTCTTTCCTATGATTTGTATGAGCACTCCATCAGTTAAGGAAATGGCTCTTATGCCTGACATGTGCTGCCAGTATTTGTTCCTAGTTTTTTTTTTTTGCATTTGAAAATGTTATGAATTTATCCTCAAATGTAAGTTTTCTAAAAATAGAAAATGCTTATACACATGTATATCTTTTACCGTGTCTCAATTTCATGTCATGATGAGAAAGGCCCTCCCCACTCCAAGATCATATCCAGGCCTCCTTCCAGACTGGCTTGTCTCCACCTCAGCACAACTGACCCTTTGGACGGGATGATTTTTCTATGGCGGTCTGTCCTGTGGGCCATAAAGCGTTCAGCAGCATCCCTGGCCTCTATCCACTAGATGCCGGTAGCGTTCCCTCCTCTCTGGCTGTGATCACCAAAAATGTCTCCAGACATTGTCACATATCCCCTGGGAGGCAAAGTTGCCACATACACCCAGGCTGGAGAACCTCTGTTCTGGAACACGCAGAGGTGAGATTTTAATTACTCTGTCATTTCAATCTTTGATTCAGATGATTCATTTTATTTTTGCTAAAAGAGTGAGATAGAGATCCAGCTTGATTTTTAACTAAAGGTAGTCAGTTGTCCCAATTTAGTTTAGCCCTGATCTGAAAAGTCACCTTGGCCAAAATCTAAATGTCCTTATCATATTCTCAACTGTCTCATTGTTCTTTGTTTCCTCTTTATTTATTCTCAGTACAAAATACTTGCGTTTTAATTTTTACCAACTTCAAAACACACTTTAATATTTGAAGGGGCTTCCTCTGCCCTCCCCCAACTCCCAATACATCTTTCAGAATTTCCCTGGCTGTTGTGAGATGTTTAATTTTGATGACCTCTAGCAATTAAAAAAGAAATCCTGTTGGTATTTTAATAGAAATTGCTTTGAATTTAAAGATTGATTTGGGAAAGATAAACATCTTTATGCTTTCCCTATTGAATCTTGCTGGAAAGGATAAATTATATCTTTTATTTTACTTAAGTCTTCCTTTATGTCCCTCAGTAGGGTTTTAAAGTTTTCTTCATAAAACTTGCACATATTTCTTGTTAATTTTATTCCTAGATATTCATCGTTTTATTGCTTTATAAATAGCTCCTCTACAGCTTTGGGAGGAGGTAATGCTGGTAAGTGGAAACATATGGGTGGATTAACCCTTTGATGGAAACAGGAGAAAAGGACTAAATTAAAAACTAGTACAGTATTCTGGAGATCTTAGTTTTACCTCATAAACATGGTACTTATTCCAAACAATGTGTATGTGTATGTGTGTGTTTGTGTGTGTGTGTGTGTGTGTGTATTTTTTTTTAAATCAGGACACATCACCTCCCAGCATTCATTATTGGTCCACCTAACCCTATTCCTTTAGTTCTCTGCCAAATGAACTTTCGGGCTAATACAAAAACAAGCTTGTTCTTACTTACCATTTGAAAAAGAAGAAAAAGAAGAGAAAAAACAGCACAACAGAAAATTTGACAAAGGTGATGGATAGGTAAAAATAAATAAATACATACACAAAAGCCCCCAAAATGTGCTCACCTTCTCAAAGAAGTGTGAACCTTAAAAAAAATTAAGTGTCATTTATTTGCCTAAGAGATTGACGAGTATGAAATTGACTGAGAATAGGCAGCACTGGTTAGCATGGGTGTAGAGAAGGATGTTTTCTCATGTACCTTTGGTGGGATTTTTGAATAG